TGTAGCTCTTAGTGAATTCCTGTATTAAAAATAATGACTCAGACTATTTTTTTCAGTTGTGCATGTCTAATTTACAAGACAGAAGAGGAAGCAGAAGATGCTTTTGTTGCATCCGATAATGTCATGGTTAAAGGTGTAAAGTTGACAGTTCTCTATCTGTCAACCCGAAAGGCTGAAGAGCTGGGAAGGACTAAGGATAAATCTAAGGATAAGAGGAATAAGAAGAAGAAGGCATGGAAGGTATGAACTTCAGATGATTTATAGGGTTGCAATAAAGAAAATGAAAATCATATTTTCTCTCAAAGGTATATGAAACCATGCACTATGTGGCAGAACAAGTAATTGTTGATGTTGCAAAGCTACCCTGCTTTTTAACATGATTAGATAATTCATTTATTACTTTTCAGAAATCTATGATGGCAAGGAAGAAGCAGATGGAATCAGAATGAAAGTTCCGAGAAGAACGAGTAATTAGGAAACTGTTGTTTTTTCCTCTTTCCTTTCCTTGTTGATGTATGGTGCAGAAGTATAATGTAATGTTTTCCAAAATAAAATATAAAAAGAGAATTATTATTTTCCCTTCATAATATTATTTTACAGCACAGACTTCTCCCCTCCCCCTCTTTTTCTTCTTTGTCTCCCTTCTTCTCACAGTGCTACAAGTTTGACAAATCTCAATCTTGTAAGCAAATTTTCAATTTAGTCATCTATAACTTAAAGATGGTAATTGGAAACTAGAAAAGAAAAATATGATTAAGTATTAATTGCATTTTTACAACCAGAAATCAAAACAAAAATGCAAATGACGCAACAATTAGTAATTAACTTGAATATTGACCAAAGGATTGCTTCATCAAACATCATGCCTTTGCTGCCACATGCCATGCTATACAGATCCCTATTATTGTGCATCATGTTAGGCACTTGTCGCTTCTTCAAATCCTGTGGACGGGGGTGTCAATTCACACTTCAGAGGGTGGGCAAGTAAAGTCAGGGAGGCCCCTGACTAAATGCATTGTACTGGAAGCACTACATTGGAGCCACTAAGAAAACTCAGTGTTTATGAGTGGTCTCATACAGTTTGCATTCTTCTAGCTAAAGTGAACTGGCACATTTAATTATAAGATATATAACTAAGAAAATTTATGTCTTAATATGTGAAGCTTAATTACATTAGTAGGTTTATACATGGAATACTGCTGGTTAATTTGCCCAATTTCAATCATAAACTTACCAGGCCCCTCAACAGCCCTGACACATCTTGACACTGTACAGGTTGAAGACTTAAAAGTATGCAACTTTTGTATCTGGTTTCAAAGAGAACACTTATCCACCAGTTTAGCCAATTCCTTTCCATAGTGACAGCAATATCCTATCAATGTGGTATAAAACTCATTTCAGGGAGTCTTATTGACAACTGATGTGAAGTGTAAGCAACTATTTTCATGCAAGGTACCATGTTTTTTACATAAAGGCAATAAGACCTGTTATTTTTTCATGCAAAATATTTTTGACAACTTTTTAAAAATTATGGAAATGTTTCCAACCATAGCATGATGCAATCAAAAGACAAACTAAACCATGAAGAGCTTTAGATGTAATTATGTATATAAACCTTTTTGTTTGTGTGTGTGTGAAGAGATATATTAGCTAATATAAAGTCAGTGGTGCTGTCTCTTGTGTCCTATGTTTATTTTATCCAAACCACATGAGTGCAATTCAGTACCTTCAAAATTAGGCTAATTCAGCTTTCTACGAAAACGTTTCACCCCAGGCACCATTCCTTGGCGTATGCCACTTCTCGATGATATATTTACAGTTTCATAGTTATTGGGCTTGTATATGAGACATACTGCCCCCTCAAAAGTATATATATGGGTACCGATTTACTTCACTGCATTGCGCCAAGTATATGAGACAGCACAAGAATTAGTTGATGCTCTTTAATTGCCCATATCAGGGTGGAATGTTTCCATGAGCCATTTAGTAATGTCTTGTGAAGAGGAAATTTGCTGCCCCCCGTTTCTTGCTGATAAATCAGTGGAACTCTTCCGGCTCCGGAGGGGTCTCGCTGGATCCGCCAGCCACGCTGTTGGGCAAGCTATTGGGGTCGGATGCAGACTCTACTTCCAGATTACAGATTCCTAAAAGGACACAACATGTGATCATAACGAATTAAGATTTATAAGCGTAAAGCCTGTAGGTATATATTTCAAGCTTATGTTTTTCTAACTAAGTTTTACGATAAGTAGCAACTGCAACTGGATCTCTAAAGGCCTGACATAAAATCCTGCTGCCTTTTCAAATGGGATTAAAGATAATTTTTGAATCACTTCAAGGCTTGTGTGGTATGGTGGAGAATCCATATAGAGACCCGCAGAGTTATCTAGAACATAGTAAAACATTTAACTGCCCCTGGCACGGGGTTCTGCTTTAAATGTTTTAGAACAAAGATTTGACACAACCTGTTCATTGCTTTGACTTTCAATATTAGTTTTAA